TGCTTATTAATATTATATTCAACTTTTACTATATAAATTTAAATAACTTATTTGATATAATGATTAAAATTTATAATTTAATAATGTTTATATTTGAAGGTTTAGAATACAAGTATAACCTTATATAATAATAGAAAACCATTACATTTAAGAATATGATAATAGAACTAGATAATAAAGGGAAGATAATACTTTAATGCTTATAATTTATAATTACAAAATTTCGTTATATATATAAAGGATTTAGTTTTATAATAAGAATAGAAGAATTATTTTATTAAAAGATTATTATTATATATATTTTAATATAGATATACTTTCTAGCTTGTTTTTGCTTTATTAAAAATACTCTAAATCTTTTAAAGGAATTATATTTAATTATTATAATATGGGAACAAGTTTATCTTAATAAAATCATAATATTCTATACTGATTATAAATATTATTATAATTAAGATGAATATGATTAAAATAGAGGTTCTAAATCAAGTAATCGATGTTTATTTAAATTATATATAAAAAAGAAGTACTTTATTTATAAAAAGGAAGATTGTTAATCAATTTAATATAATAAAGAGAAATATAAGGAATAGTTTAAAAGTAATAATTTCGATAAAAGCTTTGAATAATTTCTTATTGAATATGAAGGATCTATTGAAGATTCTGATTTTGATATAGATAATGAAGTTATAGCTTATTTTGTATAATTCGAATTCCAAAATTTATTTATATAAAAATCAAATTTAAGTTTTATTATTTAGAGTGGATTTATAAATGAATAAAAGATTGTTAAGGATTTACTTAATAAATCTTTTATATATACTTTAATATATTAATCTTAATTTGAAAGTATAATATATATTAGTAAATATAATATAAGGGAATTTCAAAGAATTATTATTAATATAATTATAGTATAATGATTAATAATAGGTTATAAGTAGTATATAATATATAAAATAATAGTTAAGGATATTATTTTGAATATAAAAATAATAGGAGTTGTAAATATAGTATTTGGAATTAATAAAGCTGAGTTAATTGATTTAATATGATTAAATTTATTATTAGGAATTATTGAATTTCATGTTATAAATATGGAAATATTGTTTTTATTATTTTTTAAAGATATGAATGAGCTTAATATATATTATAATAATATTCTTAATATAATTGTTATAAGTAATATAAAAGAACAATTTCTATATATTTATTGTAATAAATATATAATATTCTTATTATGTATAAATGTATAATAATTTATATAATAAATTATTAATGATAATGTATATTATTTTATTGATATAGAATTATAATGTTTATATTGTTGTTTTAACTATTCGTTAATATATAAACTTTTATAAGTATTTTAATAAGTTAATTATAATGATATTATATAAATTGAGATTAATAAACTTATTAAATTCTATTAATATTATTAAAAGTATAAAAAATTATTAGATTAATTTAAATTTAATTTATAAAACAATATTGATTTTAATTATTTAATTATAATAAATATGATATATATTAATATTAATATTATTTTATATGTTATTAATAAAGGTATACGATTTTAAGTAGTATAATAATTAAATAATATTATTGTGAAGTATATCTTTGATATATTTCGAAAGTGTTAAATAAATATTTACATTGATTTTTTAGATTATATTATATATGATGTTGAAAAGAATTTTGTTAGTAAGAAATTTGTATAATATATAGTAATTATATTGATTAGAATGAAAAGTATATTAGTTGAAGCTTATTAATCAATCGGAATTGTTAAACATTATTATATAGTTATTAGATAAGTATATAATATTATTATTGATGAATTAGAGAATTTTATAATAAGGGAAATGATATTATAAATTATTGTTAAGGTAGTAAATAATATTATAGAATTAAATAGATTAGTTCTAATATTCTTGATATTTAAAGTATATTTATAAATAATCGACCTCGATTTATTAATACTTATAATCTTATAATGATAGATTGTAATTAAAAAGGTAATGAATTAAATCAATAAGTTATGAGTAACAAGATAGATATTAAATATATTGAATTAATATAACGAATTATTTATAATAATGTTATATAATTTATTTATTAATTCAAAGATTTAAATATAAAAAGAATATAAAGGTTAAACAGATTTACATTATTTATTAGGAATAAAAGATAAGACATGTATTGTACAATTAATAAATAGTTCAATAAAATTTTATATCACTTAAATTAAATTATATATAGAAAAAGAGGATTAACTTTAAAATTAATTTTATAAAAAACCTATTAAATTAATACAAATAGTAGAACTAATATAATCTAAGCAATCTATTAAGAATATACAAGAGGTATAATTAATATAAATAATACAAAATGTATTATAAAAGAAAAGAAGAACAATTTTATTGAAAACCAATAAAGTTAAACTAATTACTTTATTAACTATTATACAAAATAGAAATAAAAAGGAAACCCTTTTGGATTTATTCAAAAACCCTTAACTCTTATAATTATCAACTCCTTAAATTATAATTCCTATATTAATAATCTTCTTTATAAATAAAAATATTGATTATATTAAATTTAAGGAATAAATATCAAATTTAATATTCTATTTTTCAGATAATAATAAACTTAATAATATTAAGTATACAGATTACTTTATAATATCTATTAATGATTCAATATTAATGATTTTTATTAAATCAAAATGAAAAAAGATTAATGGTTTAATAGAAAATAATATTTTTCAGTTTGTAAAGATTATAAATATATTTGAAAATATAAGAATATTCAATTTATAGTTTATCGATAAAATAAAGAATAAGGGAATTGATAAGGTGTTTTTAAAATCTCGATTAATAATATAAGTATAAAAGGATTAAGGAAAAGATATTGTTTTAATATAGTTATTTATAATATAATAAATCAATTAATAAATTATACTATCAATAATAACTATACTTTTAAAGAGCGAGATAATTATAAATATTTATAATATTATATAAGTATACATATAATCAATATTGAATTTAATTCAAAGGTTTTATATATGATTATTAGTAGAGATAGATATTCTAGAAGGTTTTATTTTATAAGTAATACAATTATTATATAACATTCTAAAAGCAAACAATCATTGGTTTAGTATCTATTATAAGTATTATATTAATATCTTCAAAATAGTATAATCAATTTACAATCTGTATTTTTTGTATATAATTAAGGATAATATAATATTTAGTATTAACTTATAGGATTATAAATAAATAATATATTTATTATTGTTAATAACAAATTTGTAAATCATGAATAAAAAGAATTTTATAATGTTAAGTTTATAACGAAAGAGTATAAGACATTTATATTAGATATATTATTTAAGTTTAATAATAGATTAATTATTCAATAAAATAATAATATGATTTACTTTAATTAAAAGAATCAATATGAAAACTTATATTTAGTTAAATTAGAATTATTTGATATATAAGGAATATATGGAAAACTGAGAAAATTTGTAATAATAAAGGATTAATATATTATATAATATACTTGAGAAGTATATATTATAATAATGTATTAATTAAAGATAGCTTTTGATTTATTTTATACTATATAAATTGTTAATTTTAAGGGAGAAGATACTAATTCTTTTAATAAATGTATTTAATAATAGATTGACAATTTAAAAAGAGGTTTATAGTTTGTTTTACTTAATATGGATTCTTTAAAATTAATTGTATTTATTAATGTATTCTTTATTAATAATAAAGATTTATTCTTTTAGATTAAATATATTATTGTTTTAATGAATAAGTATGATAAAGCTAATATTATTTATTAATTATTTATTAAGTATAAGAAAGTTATTAGAAGTATATTAATATTAGAATTCTATATTATGGTTTTAGATTTTGATATAAGTATGATAATTAAAGGTATAATCGATAAGATCTTTTTGAATTATAAGATCTTATTAGTTATATATATTGATTTCAAATTACTTTATAATTGTTTTATAAAACTTGAAATTATTAATGAAAAGAGATTAATAATTGATATAATAGCGATTTGAGAGGTGTATAAGAAACGAGAGATTGTAGAGATTAAATGAATTAATAAAAATTCTAATCTTATAGATGTAATGATTAAATTTAAGTTGTATTAAGCTTTAAAAGATTTGATTGATAATAATATTATAAAGATTAAGGTTATAAAATAAGTTGAAAGAGATTAAAAGGATGGATGGTTATATAGGCAAAAGAGGTATTAATTAGAAGGATATAATCTAGCGATTTTAGAAAGTTGTTAGTATTGGGATAGGGATTATGTGATTATGTTAGTGTTGATATTAATATCTTTTGATATTATAGTAATATGTTTTGTAGTTTTAGTTTTTAGAATCTTAAGTAATATAACAATAGTGTGAACTATAGTATTATATTGACTTCACCATCCCTATGGTGATATTAATATTATCCTTCAAATATTATATATACTAGAATTAATTCGACTATTAAACAGGCCCTAAGCCGCGAATCATTCAGTAGGACCTATATCATAGGTACTATGTTATCTATACTCTTCTCAAACCAACGTAAATCATTTTGAGCTACTATCAGCCATTTTCACTTCTCATTAAATTAGTTTAAACTACTATTAAATTAGTTTGAACTACTGTCAAATTAGTTTACATTACTACCAAATTAGTTTGAATCAATATCAAATTAGCTTACACTACTACAAAATTAGTTTGAACTACTGTCAAATTTTTTGTAACTATATCAAATTACAGATTCGTGGATCCAACTCTAGTTTATTCCTATGATTATCTCTACTATAAATATACTGTATCGCTCCCATTTCTATGCAATACAACTTATTCTCCTCTACATCAAATCTGTTAGACAACTCCGAATACAATCTCACTCTATAACAAATTCATCATAGTTCATCTCTTCAGGCTACATTCTTTCACCATGGCAGCAAAACCTATCTTTACTGCATCCGATGATGTGTTTTTAATGCAAAGAAACCTTCTCAAACCTGCTTTACACAGAAGAAGATTGGTTTCATCATCTATTTCACAGTCTGTATCACTCTCCTCATCCGATTCCGGTTTATCAGAGGACTCAGGAGTCGATACGAAAGACTTTACTATGATACCTGAGTTTCTCGAGAGTAAGGAGACCATCTAATGGCTTGGCTGGAATCCCACAAAAGCTGCTGAGATATGGAACAAGTGGAAAGTAATACAAGAGACAGAGCAGGAACAGGGAACAATCTTCGAAGTCGATTTTCTACAACAAGCTTTAGGACATATTCCTCGCCAGAATTTCGAAGATAGTTCCAGCGACTGGGAGGAGTACATGAGGGGTTGGGGAATTAGCGAGGAGCTTATCGATGCGATAATAGATGTCGAATTTACCGACGTAAGATGCACGAAGTCAGCTCAGCATTAGGTAACCGACACTATTGAGATAAGGTACCTAAGTTTGGAAAGGATCAAGAGAGAAAGTGATCAGAGGACAAGGAATAATCATACTTTCAATCCTAGTATAGCAAGTATCGGGGTACCGCGATACTCAAGAGTGCCGGGCCTTCAAACCTTATTCAAAGCTATCTCGACAGATAGGTTGCGATACAAGGATGGTAAGATTCATGTTGGCTCTCTAGTGAGTGAAGCAGCGACTGACTTTCGAGGCTACGGCGCTGCACTCTGCTTTACACCTGACTACAAGGTTGCGGATCGCTATCGACGATATATCAGAAGACGGATCAACACGTCACCTCCGCTAATAATCCAATTAGCCCTACCAAATGCATGGATAGAGGGACTCCCCCCCCGAGCTGTGGAATTCGGAGATCTTTGGAAAAAAGTGGTACATACCTGTCGCCAAGGCTACAATATGACTGGAGAAATGAAATTTATTCACAATTTGCCCCTCATCATTGCACCAATTGCGCATTCGCCCAATAAAGCTATCGCCAGACTTGATACATGGCAGGAAGTCAGTATTCAGCACGTCATGAAAATAGAGGGACAGGAAACTCTACCAGTGCAATACGTATTTCAAGGAGACGACAACTTGGAAGAGATCGGGCAAGTAGGCGAGCTAAAGGTGGTGACGTAATGCATAGCTTCGGTCCCGTTCAATAAATCGAGCTTAGTAGATTCAAAATGCATGACATATTTCCCGTCCCCATCGAGAAAGTTCCCTACCTAGAGAGAAGCTTTCCTACCTGTTCGGTCTGGCCAACCAAGGCCGCACGAGCAAACTTATACTGCGAAGCCGGGATGCTTCCTCGCCCGCTAGCAAGTCCCGTTGCCTGCTTTGATTGATCTAGTTCTTGTCCTCTATGGTTTGCACTGGGGCAGGAACAAATTGTGGATGGCTCCCGACTGTTAGCTCAAACTGCTTTTTCACAGGGCGTTCCAGTTGTGCTTCAGGAATATGAGGGTATGCCTCATACATTCTTCTGAGTATTTGGCAAAGCACCGCAGACGAAAAAGATTCTTGCTGATTGGGCTGAGGCTATTGTTGCTTTTGGGAAGGGCAAGAAATCGGTTTCTAAAGCGGAATTTATTCATGCTCAGGGCTCGAAGAGACAGGAGTTGAATTTAGTATCTTTTGGTGTGGCAGAGGCGAGCGAGCTTCTCTGGAAGAAGATATTAGACTATAGAGTCCCATTGTTTCACCAACACTGTCAGTCATCCTTGTAGTTGATATTTATTTAGTCTAGAGCCAATTTAAGTCACATCAAATCGTGTAATTTATTGCTTTCTGAGACAATTGAAAATGTCGTCACTAGAGACCAACGCTATTAAAGTTTATTAATCAAGTCTTGAATCCCTCGAACTCTCCGCTTGCATTATTTGGGGTGTTCTCATTTATGAATCAACATCCCCCAGCATTATCCCAGTTCTGCGACTTATCGTACAAACAACCAACACTTCCTAACACCATTACTCCAGGCTTAGTACATCCGTTCATCTGTCGCTTCATTGACGTAGCGAGCGAAGTAAAATGAGACTCAAATTCACCGAAGTTCCGTGATCGCGTACGGGGCGCTATTATGAATACCTAGACCATAGTCTCCTTTTCCCTTCTTGCGGCTCCTATCTTACAAGGGCAGATACACTTATCTCCTCGATTCCCTCCTCGACTCTCTGCTTCTATCTCTCTTTCTGTCACGATCCTTGTCTCTGACTCTGTCGCGATCTCGATCCCTATCCCTCCTATCCCTATCCTTATCTCTCTCCCTATCTCTACTCCTACTCCTCTCCCTCCTCCTATCCCTGTCTCTACTTCGACTTCTATACCTCCTGGAATGCCCATCTCTATCTCTATCTCTCCTATCATCAGGGGATCGGCTCCTCCTCCTCGGCCTGTCATCATCTCTTGATCTCCTCTCCTTTTCCCTATCCCTACTTCTCTCCCTCTTCCTTGGGGAACTTCTCGCAACTATACTTTCCCTTCGTTCAGTGGCACCTGGTACATATCGGTCAATATTGATCGGACTAGTGCTTCTCTCGATCCGACTACTTCGTCTCGCAGTAGGTGACCTACTTCTTGCGCGAGATTCTCTCCTATGACTTTCCCTATCGCGAGAAAGTTCTCTTTTTCTTGCCGAGGCAGGACTGCTCATTCTAGCATCATCCTTTGCTCTAGGTGTGGAAGCGATGACCTCTTCCTTTTTGGTTGATAGAATAGGTAATTGTGGTTGAGTCTTTCGTTCTTCGTTCCACTTTCTAGCTTCCTCGGCTCTTGCTTGTGCCGCAGCAACTTTGTATGATTCCGTATCCAGATTCGAGGCGCTTGTCCTAGTCACACTGCTCTCTGCACGTCTTGTGTCTCGGTCCCCTATACGTTCACGGCTTCGTGATCTATAACTTCTTCGTCGGTCACGAGATCTTGATCGAATACGATCTCTATCACGCCTGTCATCGCGATCTCTACTTGACCTACGTCGTCGATAGCTACTTCGATCCCGATCTCTACTATCCCTTCTATCTCGGTCGCGATCCCTGTCTCTGCTGTCTCGTCGTCGTCTATCATCCCGATCTCGACTTCCACGGCGAGAGCGTTCATCCTTGTCTTTGCGGCCATCGTGATTTACTTCTGTAGATTTAGATTCCTCATTAGTCTTTGTATCATCCTTAACCTTAGTAGTACCCCTGCTTGATTCAGGACTTTTAGCTCGTTGACTACCTTCTTTGTCATGGCTAGACTCATTTGCCTTGTCTACCATCGGTTTCGTTTCGGCGAGTTGAGGCGTTTTCGAACCGGATTCTTCCTTGAGCTTCGCAACTGCAGTTTTCTTATGCTCAATCGTTTTGACAGGCGTATCCCGAGAAATTGGGTTGATGGCTGAGGCGGGCATTGCTTTTCGAGGAGGTGGTGCCAAGGTCTCGTCAACCTCCATTTCTAATAGATGTCTAGATCGATTAGCAACCTTTTTGCCCTCTTTCAGAAGATCATTAAGAGCCTCTTGTTCGAGACGTTCAATTTCTTCCTTCGATAATTCTGGCTTCGAGATAGGCGTTCGGACACCGAGGGAATCTCTGCGTCTATCGTCGTCATATCTTCTTCTTCGATCGTCCCTATCCCGGCCCCTATCTCTATCTCCTCTATCGCGGTCCCGATCGCGGTCCCGTTCTCTCTCGCGATCACGGTCTCGATCCCTAGCTCGATCCCTCTCCCTCCTCTCCCTCCTCTCCCTCCTCTCCCTATCTTCCTTCTCCCTTTCTTTCTCCCTCTCTTCTTCCGCCTCCAACTCGGCCTTCTTCCTAGCCTCCCTCTTTCTTTCCTGATCGGCCTCAATTCTCTTCTCTTCTTCTCTCCTCTTCAACTTCTCTTGCTTTCTCTTCTCGTCCGCGATAGCCTTTTCCTTCTCTCTCAATTCCTCCCTAACTTTCTCTCTGGCGGCTTTCTTCTTTGCAGCTTCTTCCGCATACTGCTCATCTGTTTTACCTCCTCTCAAAAATTCCTTCTCGGCTGCCTCTTCCCCAATGTCACTTTTGCGAATCGTGCGGACCCCTTCTTCTATTTCTGGAATGTAGGCCTGGATCAATTTATCGATTGTCGCCTCAGCAGATTGGTAGATACCGGCGCGATCCACAGCTCCCTCGATAAGTAATGTAGCCTTACTGCGATCTAACCGGAGTAGCTGTCTGGGGTCCTTCTCTAATTGCTCTTCCGCAACACTCAATAATGAACTTGTAAATTCATCCTCAAAATCCTGTAGTGACCACTCGTAATTAGTATCCAAACAATTAGCTCGAAGAGCCCATTCCTATACCCAGACATTTCGGGCGCAAAAGCACTTTGAAATAATTTGGAATTACATACACCTTTCTCCAATTCCTGCCAAATTTTGGTTCTCAACTCGTCATAAGTACCCTTCTTCTTGTATGTATGAGCCAATCCTTCAATCGCCGCTCTAGTCGCAGATGCAAGTGGTAACTCTGAAGTCTTTACTTTCTTTCGCGGTGGAGGTCCAGAATGGCCACCATCTTTTTTGTAGGTAGATGCCATCGTCGCCATTCTTTCCTTGTGGTGCTGAATTGAATTATTCAAAGCGTTCCCGAACTTTACTTCATATTGGAGGAGAAAAATGTTAATAACCGTGTGAATAGTTGAAAAGGATGAACAAACAACATTGGAACGAGGAATCTCAAAGTAAGTTGTCCGCGCATGCAATTCAATTGAATAGACGCGAGTCACGTGGTACACATCAATCAGCCAATCGCGCTAGTGCGATCTGAAGTGACCTTCAACAACCATCTGAGTGCATCCTGGAGTAGAAGCCGTAGTAGCGATTACACAACTCATCATACGCATCTGCAAATCTTTAATTCTGATTGTGCAGTTCATGCCATAGTCGATCCCACAGCTATCCACCCAAACCTCAATTCTCATATCATAAACAAAAATATGGTTCACAAAGTTCTCTTCTGGACTGGCTTTGGTATGTTCCCCTCTTCCATCTGCCCCTCCTCTTACCACCTAATTCCCCGCATATTTCACTCTTCCCCTTTCATTTTACTAACACGCATTCTTAATAGGCCTCGCTGTCCGCGCCTGGCAACTCGGCCTCGAAATGCGACCTTTCTTCAACAGACAATCTCTCTGGGTCTACCCCGTCTTCGGCGGCGTCGGTGCTTCGTTTGGATATTGGATGCAAGGAGTTGAGAGTCGGCAACAGGCTATCCTCGGAGCTAGACGAACAGCCATTTTGGAGAAGAGGGCAAGGAGGAAGGAGAGGGAGGAAGCCGTTGAGGAGTCATAAATTATTTATTGGAAGAGCGCTGGGAATTTGAAACACGAGGAGTGGGTTCTGAATGGGTTAGGGATGACAAGAAATCAAGAAGAGATATGGAAATTGTACAAAGTTTTGCGGGCAATTGGTCAATGAGAAAGAAATTGCTCAGATATCTCAACATGAAGATAAACATCGGGGGTGTCTCAATTTGGCGTAGACGTTCACATGGATTTAAAGCAAGGAAGTCTGGATATTGCATTGCATTTGATCCAACCATTACACTCTCATACATCAGATGTGATTCTTTTGATATCATCATTATTCTTTTTGCACGCCATCCAACACCTGCTCAATGAACTCATGCTTCTCTTTGAGCTCTCTAGATATCGCAACGCTCTATTGAGCTTCGTTTACTAATCTATGAAGAACTGGTACAGAAGTTGTGGGTATACTTCCTGACTCCGTAACAACCATCTGAATATACTCGGCCGGAGTAACATCATACATAGGATTGCAAAGTTGGAGTTTCTTAACATCCATCCAGTTCTCTAATGGACCTCCAGCGATCACGAGCTCATTGGCTGGTGCAATCTCATTAAGAACAATTGAGTCCAAAGCTACTCGATCAGTGAATTTGATGGTCTCGCAAAGAACGATGACTGGCTTGTCAGCGGATGAAGCTTCCATAGCAACCAAAGCCGTTCCAATCCTTGAATATAATCGGCCATTATTCATCATTGCGTGAGCACCTAATAGAACTTTTGTTACATCTTGGATGTTATGACTTAGTCCATGAATCAAACAGTACTTGACTTCGATGCCTAGACTGACTAGTGCCGATGCTAAATGCTTTCCCTCATGTAAGGGT